CTAATAAAGAAAAAAGAAAAGGACAAGCAGATAGGAAATTGGACGGACAGAATTGTAACCAACAAAAACAAATTTCTGAGACTCATAAGACTGATGAGCTAATCTGGCCAGACTGTATCGGCAGCCCAGAGGTACTTGATCAGTTTGGCCTTAAAAGTAGAAATCCGCTCTGACTGCCGGATACATACTGGTAGACTATTCCATTTCAGCATAGATCTATGAAAAAAGCTATTTCGGAAGGCATCCGAGCAGGGCACAGTGGTACTCATGTAAGTTGAAGTATCCGACCTATCAATTATTTGAGCATTGTGTCTAGTGTATCGGGTGCCCTCTGGACGGCATAGGACTATATATGTAGGGAGCGAAACTGGAATTATGCTATTCACTATTTTATAGAAGGTCATAAGATCGTTATAAATAAACTTCTGTTTAACAGGGAGAATATTTAGTTTCTTTTGCTCTGTAGCAAGTTTATCGTCATTATAACTGGAGTAAGGTTCACCATTGATCCATTTAATAGCCCTCTTTTGGATAGCAACAAACTGTTGAAGATGAGTTGCAGATTGAGGGGACCATATGACAGAACAATGTTCAAATATAGACCTAATTAACGCTAAATAGAACGATCTTTTCTGCCTTTTATCAGTAGTGAAATGACATGTTCTCTTAAGTAGTCCAAGTCTAGAGGTAGCTTTGGAAACAAGCGCTTTACATTGTGCACCCCAATTAAACCTGGAGTTTATTGCGACTCCTAGATCTGACTGAGAGGGCACAAAGTCAATATCACTTAAATTATTAACCATTCATTCTGTATGTGCACGAAAATTTATTTCAATCAAAACTTAAACAAGAACTAAATGGAACTGAACCATATTCCTATCTAGAAGAAGTTCTGATATCAACAAAAAGCAGCACCTAAAAAGCATTCATTAGGAGAGTAGAATTTCTTTGAAAACAAAATGAATCTCTCCAGGACTTAGCCAACTAGAAAGACTATAAAACAAAGACTCTGCAAACAAAGACTCTGGACCCTGAAATCCACCACCTTTCTGTACTTTCCGAAGTACCAATGTGGCAGGAAACCAGGGCTCATGCTGCCGCTGAGCTAAAGCAGTAGTGGAGATGGCAGCTTCTCTGGGATCTAACACATCCTGAAACAGACCAACACTATGTCCCAACGCACTGGTGTTGGGATGTCTGCCCCCGGGGCCTGCCAGTGGCGTAACAACCGCCCCTGCTAACCCTGCTAGCAGGGGGGCGGCACCTTAGGGGGGGCGGCATTTTCCTGGATTGTAGGTCTGATTTCACGGAAAAAGCGCCTTATTGGTGTACTACCCTGTCGAATTTAGCGTTCGGTCGACGTGAAAAAAATATTTGGGGTACCATTGTTGCTTCAGGGGGCGGCAAAAAGGTGTAGGGGCGGCAAAAAAAGTACCTGACCTTTTTTTTTTTTTTTTTTTAGGGACACAAAATTTTAGGGGCGGAAAAGGGGCGGCAAATTTCAATCAGCAGGGGGGCGCCACAAAGTAACGTTACGCCACTGGGGCCTGCCCGGGTCAATAAAGCAGTCAAGCATCATGTATGTTATGTTGAGCATTCTCAACCAGCAGATGTGGGAACTCCCACAAAAGACCGAAACAGATCTAAAGAAACAGTTAGCAAAATCAGAATATAGACTTGAATTTGTTTATATAATTTATAAAGCGTATGTTATTGCCCACGTTAAGGGGCCTGTCAATAATTAATTAAATTATTAGCTATCTAAGATTTAATAATAATAATAATCACCTAAACTATTGACAACTTTCCATCGTTCACCTGCCAGTCCTTCTTTTTTAATTAGGCTGCATGACACCCATGTGTCGAATTCAAGTGGTAATTCGAAGTATCTTAAGCAGCAGTAAGTCACTTTATACCTCCACTTAGAACTTGATTAGTCATGAACAATAGAATCATCAAAAACCAATACAATAAAACATCTTGATCAATAAATGCCTAGCAGCACCAGACAGCGGCCGTGTACCTTTTTCGACTCCACGGAGTCTCTGATGGACTTTTGTTTACTTTTGTTAATAATTGGACCAACCTTTCTTTCTCGGAATGTATCCTACTGTACTTCATTATAATATTAAGATAAAGCAAATGTGAAGATATTACTACGAAATAGATTTATAAATCAAGAGGCTTGCATATAATGAACATATTGACATGGGTGCAGAGTTGACTCTGTACGGAACCTAGTAGTTTCAGTTCCTTGTTTAACTTGCCGTACAGCAAGGACATCACTACTTTAGCCCGGCGAGGCACATAGCTCACTCTACAACTCCATGTCAAATGTTTCATATATACTAGCCAAGTTCACAAGATATATCCTTGTGTTTGAGAAGCGCTCGCTAGAACTGCCTCCTTTCCCTTCAGTATCCCACAGTCTCTCTTATACCAAATTGTCCATGATATTAACTAACCATGTTGATGGTTTTAGATTTTGTATGTTGTAAGTATTTTAATGTGAAGCGTTTACTCCTCCCCCTCAGCAAGACAGTTAGATTAATGATAATAATTGTCAAATGACGTAGTATATTATATATTATATAACAGTTAATATGTGGATATAAATGGTTAATGTTGTAGAGCAATTTCAAGAGTAGTGGTCCACAGGGGTCTGAAAAAGCTGTACATGCACTTGGGTTCTTATCCTTGTCACTAGTCTCAATTGAATTCAGTTTACACAAAACATGAACATTTAGACGTACACATTGACACGATATTTATTAGAAAGCAAAAAGTATAAAATAATACGTGCGTGCGCGGCTTGGGCCGTGCTGCATAAGAGTTGATGCGTGTAGGGGCTGGAGTACACTTGTTTATAGATTAATGAAATGTTGCATTGTAAATATTTAGAATTGACGATATATTATGATCTAATAGTAAATTTTACAAAGCTGGCTTTGAATTTAGGTAAAATTATAATTTATTTTAAAAAACCACGGATAGTTTTAAATTTACTTTGTCGTATAGCTATAAACAAGTTAATCCTGTTTTCAAGAATGTGCGGCTTTGGCGGCCAGTTATTGATTTATACATAAAATTGAATCTTAAATAGAAATGTGGATATATTAAAATTTAAAACTTTCAAAACGGAGGCTTATAAATCTTACTTATAATTCAGAGAATTCTCTTTGTACGTTTGTACGACCGCCCACGTGCAAATTAGGTAAAAAGCAAAGGTTTCAAAGTAACCATGGTAACGAGGGTTGTTACACGCATGTGCACGTGCAAAGATTGTTAGCTAGAACGGCATTTTTATCGGTTTTGTTGATATTACGTTGTGTTTAGTGCGAGCAACATTTTAATCGGCTGTATCCTCGGTTGCATAGGATATTTTTTGACGCGATTTAAACTTACTAACAGAAAATTACTATTAGCTTCCTCCCTGTGACCACGGGTTTTCTAGTATTATTATATTATGATTGTAAAATAAAGGATACAATTTTAAATTAGTTTCACTAAATTTGTTTCACTTCAATGTTCTTAATGTAGATGACATCTCCTTTTGTCATTTGAGTAGAGATGAGCGTGATCTAAGTCTGGAAGAGATTCCATTGTCCTTTTCTTCATCTATGGAATCCTCAGCATCATAGAATTCCTCTGTGATGACTGGTTCCTTGACTGTTGCTTCTACGATCCTCCTTTACGATGTTACCTTGTACCTGGGGACACCAGCTCAGGTTATAATGTTCATAAATAGAGATTCGGCGTAATGACAGGCTAAGCGCTGCCCAGTAATTATGATGTGGTGACTTTCAAAAATGTCTGTTATCTCAGTGATCTCTATTTGAGACAATAATATGTGAACATAATACTGTCAGATACAAACACGGTCTTAAACGTGTTTGTTTCAAGTCCTCATCCTAAACGGGCAGATGAAAGGGAATTGGAAATTTAGCATATCCATTTTTCACTCATATGCTCAGGTTTAAACATTCAGAGAATCAATTCGTTAGCTGCATCAAGCTCTCAGTGTAATAATATGCCAGACTGTGTTTGTATCTGAGTCTGACAGTATTATGTTCACATATTATTGTCTCAAATAGAGATCACCGAGATAACAGACAAGTTTGAAAGTCACCACATTGTAATTGTAAAGGAGGATCCTGTAAGCCCCATGAATTGGCAGTTTCGCCTGTATTTTGACAATTTTTAGTACTGTCGAGAGTGGATATAGAGGTTAAACGTAAAATATAACGTAATGGACCAAGGCCTGTTTACATCTCGATATTCCCGCTCGGAAAATAATGTGCATTCTAGGGGGTTCACACCCCTAGATTTGGGGAACATCAGGGGAGTCCCGGGGCGTTGAGACTGGGGAGGACGGCGCAGAGGGGGCCGGGGTGTTAAGACTGGGGAGGACGGCGCAGAGGGAGTTTGCACTTAGGTGATTGGTGGCCAGGTGTATGTATATATATACTACTCCGGTTGGTCAATGGTGTCTTGTACCATCCATTGTGAACTCACTGGTAGGTCATTGCAGAAAGATTCAGTCAAAAGAGTGAAATTTGGGTCCAGGAAAGCTGAAATCTGAAACTGTCCCACCGGTAGGACATTTTCATAATTTTCCTTTCACAGAAGCTTTATCCGGATATTCAGCTTCCAGTACGTCGATGGAAACTTGTGTCACTCACACTGACCCCACTGTGTCAAAATACCCAACTTAATTCAAAAGTCAGTGATGAGTACATGTCCTCGCCAGGTTTGTGAGATTATCGGGAGAATCCTAGTTAGGAATTAACAGGATTATTATCGTGATATAATAATTATGTTTGTTTACTTGACATAACTGTCACGGTCATAACGTTTGAGTCAGCCCGATATTTACCCTTCAGTTACAATTGAAATTAATGTGTCCTAGCTTCGTGCCCAACATCCGTGTCCGTTGTAATTTTGTATTTGTCATTTTAATCTGGCTACCTTTAGTAACGTTTTAACTTCACTACAGCTTCCAAATATGCCTGCAAGGAAAAGCACCCGATCTAAGAAGGCTGTGTCTTACGTTTCCACTGACACTAAAGATGATGACGTAGATCATACTACTGCAACTACTTCTAATGATCCTGATTTTACTGCAGAAATAGAAGTGATCTCAGAAACCGATGAAGTTGAGACTGAGAAAGAAAACCTTCCAGCCAAAAAGAGAAAGACAATCCACGATTTCATGAGTCCATCTGCCAAGATCAAACCTATCACAGAATCTTCACCGGTTACCCTAGGAGAGCTCCCACAACCGAACACTGCATCTTCATCACAACTATCTCGGCTTGATGAGCTGCAGAAAGTGATGACTGAACGTGGTAGGAGCAGTTTGGTCGGTAACCAGTGTGACCGGTCTGACGAGTCATTTACTGGCATCTTGTCAAGCATTAAAAATGTTCGTGCTAAAGGTACAAAACTTCGAACTCCTTCATCAGCCAAGACTCCGACGGGAAAAGGTAATTTAAGGCTGATTAGAATTTCAAAAAAGATTTAAAATTCATGTTAGCTGTACCGCTTTGCTTTTTAGTCAATAATTGTGTCATTCTTTAATTATTTCGTATTAATCCCAAACTCTGTAGATTTATTAAGACTCTCTTATCAAATCAGGTGCTAAAGGCAAGATTGACGGTAACACAGTTGAGCAATGGCGGAGACAACTTGGTAACTCTTGCAAAGCTAACATCAGTTTCGAGAAATGGACAATAGCTGCTCGAACACACTTCACCACTGACTTTACTTTGGGAGCATTCCGGGCTCTGATAGTCCCTAACGCCAGCAAGGTCCATCCTGCTGACTTTGATAGTTCAACTCCTGTTGTAACAGCTAGCTCACGTAAACCTGGCGTTATATTTGGGTCTAGTAAATGTAAGGGCGGGAGTAGGTTTGGGTCGTTCAGTGCTGAAGAGGCTGAGTTTATTTTTGTTGCTTCTACTAAACAACTTAGTGTGTGGTGGACTATGGGCTAGATCAGGCCTAGGTGTTTGTCGAACTATAATTTTAACGGTATTTTTAATATTTTACCTGGATATTTTAACTTTATCAATTTTAATACTGAATCCACTGACTGGATAATTTAACAATTTCCGTAGTTACTCTTAGTTACTAATGTTAAAATTTAAAACTTTATAATAAATATGTGCAACTTCGGACTAGTTAAACTCCTAGTATATTACCACTTTACGGGAATAATTTTACCAAAAGAAGGTTCTCTCGAAATGGAATGAAACATTTTCGGTAGGTGCTGCTCAGCTCTCATTCCATCCGTTTCAATGTCATGTAGGTTCAATACAAATTATTTTCATTATTTCGTGTCAATCTAATTAATTTATAAATTCATACAATGTTATTTTAAACAATTAATACAGTGACAAGCATTAGAAATCTGATGTTAGATGATTGTGACGTCAAAACATAAAATTATATGTTCTTCGACTCCCTGGGAATCTCATAGTTTTCATAAGTGATTGGTAAATCTTATGTGTCTGCTATTAGTTGATGAAGCCCAAGAGCTAGATTCTGAAGAATCAGCTGTATCATCGCTACATATTCAGTAATATATTCTGCTCAGTGCTCAGATATCTAGATATGCTTATCAACCATCGGTTTCAACGCTTGTCGCTATACAGCAATATTTTATATATTATGTGCGCCCAGTTTTTATGGGTTATGACTTATGATAACATTTTTAATCTGGGAGGAAGTTTTTAACTTCGCTTATTTAATTTATAACAATTCAACGTAACAATTTTGTAATGGTATACTGCTTATCTTCAACTTATGGTTTATTTTATTTTCAACCCGAATTGAACTGTTAATGCTATTATTTTCCCAACTTCATGAAGTTAAGAAACGAGAGCTGTGACTGTGTTTTTTTCAATTCAGCAATTAATTTAAAGTTTACAAGGGTCACTAATGAACAGGATTTATGATAAATTAATCGATGAGGTTCAGCTGTTGTTTTGGCTTGGCCGTTATTAACTTAACTTGTTAATTTAAAATTGGCTCAGTCTTTCTCGGGCGATCTACATTTGCTCAGTGCTCGTGTATATAATTGGCCAATGCTGTAAGATGTCGCAAGTCACAACAAATTTGCATTGCTTCCGAGAACACGCGCCAGTCAGGTACAAATTTAAACCTCCTTAGCTAAAACCGCCAAAAAAACTTGGACCATATTATTATGTTACAACTTTATAATACAGTCATAAATTTGTCAACAAGAACTTGATTTGACTTGCTACTTTGCTAGCATATTGTAACATCTGCTTGTTGAAACTTGATTTGTTAAATTGATGTAATCACCCGTGATTCTCAGCAGCCCAAATAATTGGAGCCATTTATAGTCACGTTTTGTAATGTTTTTATTGCTTAGCTCATTTATTTGACGTAGGTTAAACTATTGTTTTTAAATATTATGTTTTTAGAATTTAGGTCAATATAAATTTAAGTCTATTTGATTGTGACGCAGGTTGAACTATTACTTTAATATCTTTTTATAATTTGTGTCAATATTTTTCGCACTTATGCTCTATTGACAAGTTAAATTTAATCAACTATTCTTTAAACTGACATAGTTTTACTCTTCTAATTATTGTGGATTATTGGACTCAGAAAATTGATAATATTTCACTTAATTCGATAGATTGCGGGAGGTGATCCATTATCCACACTTTCTTTACAAAACTCATGCAACTCTTAAATACGCATATTATAATAGAGTATATCGCTCTGAAAGTATTAAATTTGTAACCACTCCAAACATTTTGCATCCTGGCTCCTCAGTAGCCCTCTTCCGCATTCCTTAGAATGGTTTATGAGCGATATTATGGATTTCCTCCCCAATCATACAATTTAGCTATTAAGTACATATGTTTAAAATATGTATTTCAATATTCGTCTGATAACACATATTGGGTATAACTTGGTATTATCTTGGGACCGTGTTTATTCCACTCTAATCTTTTCAACGTTTGCAGCTATGTATGAAGCATGGTGAAAGCTGAGCAGAAGACCATTGGAATGCGTGTAAATTCCTTTCCTTAGCATGTAGCCCTGTTTAATGGCACGACACCGGGGCTTTCTTGAAGTGTAAGTTGCTGATTTTACAGTTTTACAAATCGCCTGAATTCTTACAGATAATAATAATTATAGCAAATTATATAAGGTATGTACGTACGTGCTTATCATTCACAAAAACCACCGTCACACTTCGTTGTTATTGATAAGATGATTATGTAAGTGTTTCGAATGTTTTAAAGAAACACGTTGTTTTTATGGATTGATGTGCAATGATATGATCACTTTGCTGGATGAATATTTTAAAGTAACATGTTTTCGATCACTGGTCAAGTGCAGTCCTATGATAGTAGCATGGCAGAAAGATTGTAGTAGTCGGATCTAGCAAAAGGCCTCCTTAAGCCCTATTGTCGAGCGATAAAACAATAGAACATTTGCTTTGACTAACCGTTTGCCACTTAGTGTGTGACTTCGCCGCCCCATTTGTTGTGGCAACCGTTACTTGCAAAAACTTTCCACCGCGCGCACAGAGGGTCTACTAAAGCACAATTTTGTTAGGCGCGTTGTAATGAAAGTATCTTGCGGTAAGCAGCCAGTGTGGCATAAAGTACGCGCGTGTTCTGGCTCCAGCTTAGAATTGCCCATGTGCTCTATCACTATCTAGTTTCTATTTGGGCATGATTCCAGTGTTTTTGAGCTTGTCTCAAAGCTCAGGCTAATTTAAATCTCGATATCCTCTATTTCCAGGCGTGGTGTATCAAGAGAGTCTAGTACAACCCTTACGCAGGATAATGCACCCTGGGGAATGAACACGCCTATGGGCTTCTGTCCATTATCAACACTGTCCAGCCACCATTCTCTTCTCTCCTCGAATAGAGAGTATGAAAGCACTGAGGGTCTACACTCTTCAGGCATTTCCTCCGCTGATAGCTGGGCTCAGGATGACGTGAGTACTGAGTCTTGTTTGTTTTTTCATTCCAGTATCACTGAACTCAACTGGGACTAGCGGCCTGTATACCAACTTGTTAAGCAAAATTGATTCTCTTTGGCCTGGAAAACGTCAACCCTGTCTAGCATCACAACCTTGATTCTCGCCACATCAAAACTAATGTTAATTAATTAACAGCACGGCATTTTCGAGATGACAAGGCTGTCTCTGAGACCATCGCACCGTGACCGAATTTATATTCTCGGTTAACTTTGTCATTAACTGACAACAGATGAAAATCGCTCGTGAGAAAGCAGCATCGATTTATGATTTTATGCCATGTATAATTTTATGCCATGTTAAATATCTAAATCACGCTCAGGAGTTTGACAGGAACGCTACTCGGAAAGTTCGCAGCATGTTTGAGGAACTAGAGACTGCCATGTTTGAAAATAAAAACTGTTAGTTTATTGTCCGTCAAGATCTTTAATTTCTTATCTTGCAGTTGCTATTCCATGATATTATACAGCTTTAAGAGTTGGTTGCAATTTGAATTGTTATTAAACGGTTTTGGAAAATGTGCTTTAAATTTTATTCTCAAATCACCCTAGAAATATTTCCAGGCATCTCAAGAAACTTAGAGCGTGAAATATCTGAATGGACGGAAATGTTTCCTCACTATAGGTATTATATCTCTACTTGACTGCTGCCCGTAATTTTATTTGAAAACCAAAAATGAAACCGAAATAAGCTAACAACAATTACCGCGTACAATTAAGCTTCGATGCGACAAATTTTAACTATTAGATACAATCAAAAGATATCAGTGGGGTCTCACTGACATACCTCTTTCAGGATACTGGGGAAACAATTGTGTCTCCCCACGGAGAACGGAACAGAGTTCATATCCACGGACTCGGATCTAAGTAAGCAGGAACTGGACGCCCTGCTAGACCGGTCCCTTACATTGCACCAGCAGCATCACTCTGATGTGGCTGAGCAGTGTTCCCTATCTGCCCTCGTTTTAGCGGGCACCAAAATTAAACAATTTGAAAAACCTCCCGTTGAAGAAGAAATCTTTGCATCAGGTATGTAAGTAGACTAGACGTCTAGGAAGTAATCGCCCGGTAATCACTTAATCGGTTGCAGTTTAGAATTAGAATAAAGATAGCTTCAGCAGCCTTAAACACCAAATTATATACCAGTAATAATTTTATTTTCTGAACATTTTATTCTGACTATTGAACTCTTTCTAAACCTAAAATCTGAGAGCGTTTGATTTTTATTTTGAAGCGTTTCTTGGTTTGCCTAACAAACTGACCTCACTCCTCCTGACCAGAGGGAAATAACGAAGAATATTTAGCCTACGATAAACCTGATTCTTTTAGTTCTGTCGCACAAGTGTACTACAAGTATCATCAAAAACCAGGTTAGTTTGGTTTGGAGTACAGTTTAGATTCACCGCTAAAAGACAAGCTGACCGTTATGACTTGCTACAAATACCCTATAAGGCACGATACTATATCATTAAAAGCAATTAATATAAATACATAATGCACCATTCCTACTTTTCAGGGTTCCCACCGATAACTCCCAAGTCTCACAGAAAGCATACAATTCACAGTTTAGTGTTTGTATGTCTTTGGAGCGACTGTATGAATGCCTCTGAACCACTTATCGCCAAAGTAAGTAAGCCTAATAAAACTTGTCTTCTATGAAAGCTGTTTTAGACTTATTTCTGAATTTAAATCCTATTTAGCTGAACGGTTAGATCCTAAACCTTTCAATTGAGAGGTAGTGCTGCTACTTCATACCTATGTAGCTGTTTTAGACTTATTACTGAATTTAAAATCCTATTTAGCTGAACGGTTAGATCCTAAACCTTTCAATTGAGAGGTAGTGCTGCTACTTCATACCTATGTAGTCTGTTGGTATCGTAAATATGCTAAATTGGTGGTCTTTAAATACCAGCTGAAGACTCCGTCGGGTCCCGTGGTCGGAAACCATACGTCTTGATGGTTAAGGCCAGAGGGGGGGGTAAGGGGTCAAAAACATCGACCAAAATATTATTTTCTAAATCAATATAATTTTTGATGACAAAAACATTGCTGCTATTCACATATTTGTAGCTGCTTAACTTATTTTAATAATTGAGGTTAACCGATTTTCACAAAATTGACTATACAACATTGAGGTTAATAAAATTGAGGTTAATATTTTATTACACTCCATAATTTTTTGTTATTTCGGTCAGCAAATGTTAACTCTAAATTTTAGGTTCATAATTATCAGAAAAAGTAATATCCAAACGTGATTAAATGAGGTTAACCTCTTTTTTTAGATATAGCGAGAATAGATCAAATGATAGAGCTATTATTTTCATCGTTAGTTTACGGTAAACACATTTCTAAATAGATGACGTGTTGATTGACTTTCTTTCATCTTGGTTAAATGAAAAAATGAGGTTAACCATCAAATTTTGGTACCGTAGGGAATATACATACGATTCTTACTTATGTAATGTACCACAATATCGCAGTGAGGTATCTATTGGTATCACAATGCCTACAACTATAATCACGTGACAAAGGTGATTTGAACTGACCATATTTTAGTAGAAGATTTTATCCGTAAATGGCTAAAAAATGAGGTTAACCTCTCATTTTTTGAATATCTGACCAGTCAAATACATGTTAACCTCAAAAACTTAATCGTTACATTGTGGAAATGTTTTACTACATATATAATAACATATTAATAAACCAATCCCAGTATTATATGGTCTAAAGCGAGGTTAACAACCAATTTTTTACTACTTTTAAGCAGTAAGTGTTTACAGGAAGTCTTGGTTAACCTCATTTTTTACAATACAAGGACATTAAATACTGAAAGTGGCTAAAATCATTGAGGGGATGGCTAGGTCTGATCAAGCAAACGTTGTTAAGTGTATAGAAAGTCCTAACTAACGAACTGTGATACATTCCAGTGAATATTCAAAATTTTGAAAAGACTAAGTTGCATCTATCTCAAAACACATTTTGTGACTTTCAGTTCCTTAGTTGAGAAAACCAGCCGCTCCCTGATATTGAGATTTGGTACAGTGGTTCCTTGGACAACTATCTAGACATTAGATGCAGCGATTTTTTTTATTTGACTCGGTTCTCGAATTATGAGGTTAACCAGCTAAATTTTCCGAATTTTTGACATGGTTAACCTCATAATTCGATAACCGAGTCAAATAAAAAAATCGCTGCATCATAAATGAGGATAATTGTCCAAGGAACCACTGTACCAAACCTCAAGATCAGGGAGTGGCCGGTTTTCTCAACTAAGGAATCGAAAGGTCAAAAAAGTTACAGCCGTTTAAAGATCCAGTTTAACATGTAATTACAGGTAAACCTCAAAATTTAGCGCGCGATATCTCAGGAACGCAAGGTCAGATTTTGATCCGGTTTTTTTCTTCTTGTTCGTCTCCAGCAGCTATTATCAAATATGTGAAAACTAGAAAAGTGCCATTTACCCCCCCCCCCCCCCCTCTGGCCTTAACCAATAACCGTCAACCGATGAAGCCTCGGACGCTAAATGATGGTATACACTTTCATCCGTAGCTCACCTTCAAATCTATCGGCTCGATAATTCAAACTTCGATAGGCAACCCTTCAAATTTAGGCAACCCTTGGATTGAAATCAGTTTTTAAATGTATTAACTATTGAATTATACAATTTTGCAACTATCTATATACCAGAGTGGATATAGTTACTAATCTGATATCAATTAGTATGTTCCTTTACTCATTCGTATGCTCCTGCTTACTGTAAAACATTTGTCTCCAGATCTGCACTGGAATGCTCCCAGATATCCTGAGCAGACGGTCTCTGACGAGACCCTCTCTCCTACCCCCTAGTCCTCTACACACGGGCTCCTCATCACGGGGTCTACAGGACGTCATGACCATCAGAAGGGTTCCTTTACAAGAAAGAAGTAGTTCTCAGCAAACGTTAGTTTTTTGGTCTTTGTACATTTTTCATGAAGTACTTAATTATGACGAGCTTCAGTTTGGACGACGCAGACTTTATAATTCTTCATAATACTCTTTGACTGCCTTTATATTATGTATTTATCAGCTTCCTACCATCTTACACTGGATCTGTAATCCTTCTCTAATGATAGATTATCAGTATCTACAGGGACATGTCATCTCAAGTTGGGCGACCCCAATCCAGCAGACTACCCACAGTTAAGTCGGTCAGTGGTCTCGGTAGTCTCCTTCCTCTCCGTCAGAAATCACGAGAACACCTCCTTCCTCCTGTCGACAGAACCAAAATACTTGTAAGTATTACTTTGAAGGATTTAACTTCCTCCCTAAAATTATGGCCCATGTAAATTGTAAAATCATGGTCCGTGAAGCTGCCGCTTTCAACGAAAAACCTTTCCAATCCATAGATCTTAGTATTTTTATTATATTGTTGAGTGTTGACTAACATGAAACTATAAGACATTTCAGTCGCCGATATTCAACGCCTCATCAGCTTCTGAAAACATCTCCTCTGCAGGATTACGTGGTCGACAACTGTAGGTTCAGTTAGATGATTTACTGACTTTAATTCGTTATGTTTCACATTAACATAATATGTACTCTGCCTTTTTATATAAGGTTGAATTATAATTTTATGAGGTAAATGGAGTACATTCTTAGAATTAATCTAACGTCCGGTCGCTCTCCAGACGGCAGCAGCCGAGGAGGTTACCTCCCTTGACATCAGACTATGAGCCGTCAGAACACTTCAACCCCCGCTCCGTGGGCAGGAACGGAGAGTCACGTGCTGCTAGCGCTCAACCTGAGGATGTGTCGCGGTCAGTTCTTCGCAAACTTCTTTTCCACCCGCCCTTTCCCACTTACCAATGCTGTTAAATTCGCACTAAACGTATTATTCTAATTAAATTCGCATACGAATTTTTCTCTGACAATTGCCGCATTTAAAAAAATATACCAAATACGGGAAATCACGTGCCCGCATCAAAATGTTCACGATAATTGGCTTTGTATGGTGGAATATTGCCAAAACATGTGCTTAACGCTACACGTGCGTGGTTACTGGTTAGTGACTAGCGTGGGTACTGACCAAGATCGCAAGGGGTTAAATTTAGCTCATACCCGAAGACGTTATGGAGTAAGTTACTAACTTCTCTTTATAAACTTGAAATCATTTAATTTCCTCCACAGTCTAGTCTACTTGTCGAGATTTGTAAGTTTGAGATTTGAAGTATAACTTCACAATTCACATATCCAACTAGATTATACTTATAGACTCGAGAATGCTGCGCGTTTCCACAGCCGCATTTTTACCGAATTTTCCGCTCATTTTTTGGCGAATTTAACAGCCCTAAAAGTAAAACTTGAAGTTGTAAATTGGCGAATTATTTGCGTTTTTGAGAACTCTAAATACGCCGTACTTTTTGACGAGCTGATTACGAAAACAGCCGCGCTAATACCCGGACTAAAGATATGGTCGTTTCCACCCAATATTACAGCGATTGCATTTCAGGCGGAACGTGAGAACGTTTTACTCTACGGACGGTAGGCCAAACACTACCAGTACCTTTAGGGTGAGTTTTCTCGGGTTTTTTAATAGTTATTAAGTTATAAATCTTCCGTAAAACCGTAAAACTGGTTTAAAAGATATCAAAACAGTGCCAGTATCGTATCTTGTATGCTTTAAAGTTTGAATATCACCAAAACTATATTGATCACGATAGAGTAAAAACCGCTTCCGTCCAGGTTCAAACAGCGTTAACTCGACGACCTCCCTCTACCAGCATGACCCGGAAATACCAGAGCATGGCTCCAATAGGACTCGAAATATTTGGGGCCAGCACCGGGACTACCGTCAGTAGTAAAGGTCAGTAGTCAGTAGTCAGTAGTCAGTAGTCAGTAGGCGTAATCTAAAACTGTGGGATCTGTCCGATGTATATTCAATACTGTGCCTATACAAATTGAATATTAAGCATTTTTTGTATTTGATTATACATATTCAATTATTTGAACTTAATAGTAACTATACTCTTGAGTTATAGTTGGCGTAATCTAAATAAACAAAAACTGTGGGATCTGTCTGATACATATTCAATACTGATTCTATATTTTTTGATTCATCGGTACACCGTGCGGTGGTGCATTGGTGCATTGGTGTGCATCTTGGTCCAGATTTTTGATGCAGTGAAAAACAGTACATAATATGTATCAATTATATCATAGTTTAATTATATTTATAACAGTGAGTAATATTTCACTGACTGGTAGTGATGTTTTTCAGCTGCTGATTTTATTTTTAACCGTAATTTCAACGAAAATACGTTCGTTGTTTGACTTTTATTAGTACAATTAATACAATAAATTATAATTATAGCTTCATCATTTAATATCTGAGTACATCAAATGTTAAATAACCACCTTTAATAAATTTTAGATAACAAAAGTTTAGATTTACCACCTTTTATTGATATGATCAATAAAACCTTTTAGGCTGCTGGTTTTCTTACGTACCTACAAATCTGGAGGCGTACCAAAACTCGTGACTGCAATTTACCAATCATGTTACAGCTGCATTAACCATCATAACCCTAAATCGCTGTCACTTGTCAATAATAATATTGTCTGTAGTTGTCCTTACAACATAGGGAATAACCGTATGAGGTTTGGGAACAGAGCTTTTGACATGTCTGAGTGTTCCGTGACGTTTTCAGGCTCATTTAGGGTCATTTCACGAGTACTTGAGCGGCCATTTACCTTCCGGGCTTACGAGTTCAACTCCGTAATTAATAGGACTATTGTCATCAACGTATTTTAATAGTCCAATCAATACGTCAACTTCCAGAAATGCCGCTGAATATATTTTTTTCAAGAACATGATACAGAATTGCTAGTTAGAATCTTTAATGCTAAATTAACCATCTTTTAAGAATGCTCATGATTAATATTATAACATGCATAAGATGGCAAACTCTCTCTTCTCTATTTTCACTTTTCACAACCCCATAGATGATTTCCAAAAACTCGTCTGCTTTAGACCTCCTAGAGTACGAAGAAAAGACAAAAGCAGAACGGTATATCTTGATCGGATGGTGTGTCCTCGTCCTTGTGATGAACCTAGCAGGGAACTCTATCATCCTTCTCTCCACAATCCGTTACAGAGCCATCAGACTGGACAGAGTCAGCGTCCTCCTCATCAAGAACATTGCTGTTAGTGACATTCTGCTGGCAGTTTTTGCAGTGCATCCAACCCTCGTGTCCCTTATCTGGGACAAGTGGCCGTATGGCACATTCCTGTGCAGCATGTTTGCTAGCCTTGGTAATTTGTGTGCTATCTCTGGTATCCTACTGGTATGTGCCATGCACATCAGCAAGCTCCTTTCTCTTCTCTACCCTCTACATTCCATCGGACGAACCACTAGATCTGGACATCGGATCAGTATTTCTATCTGGCTCCTCTCTGCTGTTTCTCCCATCACAAATATCATAGTGGACAAACAAAGCTTCTACTTTAACTACAAGACTTACAAGTGCTGCTTCTCAGCTACAGCCCCCATAATGAAGTGGTTATTACCCGTCAAAGGTTTTATATTCATTATAATCCCCAACCTTCTGGTGCTTTGCACCACCGTAGCTCTGTTGAGCGTGGTAAAGAAAGCCACTGGGAGGGTTAATAGACAGGGCATTGTAACTGCACTCTACGTAGGCTCAGTCTACCTTATTGCTTTCCTTCCCGTGGCGCTGTACGTGACATTTAATCTGAATAACGGAACTTATCTGACTTTCATGTCGCCAGCAGCGCAACGTTTCTTTGATGTTACAGTTTATAAGTTTGTGTTTAATGTTACTCTCGTTAATGGGATATCTAATATATTTATTTATTATGGTTCTATAACTAGTTTTAGGTTATTCGTAAGGAGGGCATTGTATTATCATTACCAGCGTTTGACACGTTTTCCTAGTTTTGGGCGTTCAGAAAGTTTTTAAATGAGTTAAGTGGTTGTCCGTGTAATATTTTCAAATATTTAATCTTCCACATTAAACTATTATACGGGATATCATTTATTTTATCAAATTAAAGTATTGTATGTAACAAAATTTAGGTTTGGGTCGTAGACGGGGTAAAACACAGAAAGTATGGGGTAAAACACACAAAATGAGGGCCAGGTTAACTACTGTTCATAAATTAATACACCGTTAAAAATTGTTTAAAAACTTAGTGACTCTCATTTTGAAATGAGGGTCATTAAAAATATCAAAAATTTTTGTAATTTGCAGATGCATTACTCTTGAGTCGCAATTAACATTGGTTATTTTAAATCAGCAACTCAACTAAAACTGCTTCATTTGCTTCCTCCTCCCCGTGTCGGTTTCTCTGATGCTGTCGGACTGCATGCTTCTGAGTTGCGGCGTACTGGCAGTATTTGCATTTGAAGGGCTTGTCTCCAGTATGAATTCTCTGATGAACCTTGAGGTTGTAATTGCTTGCGGAGGTATACTCGCAATCCAGGCATGAATAAGGCTTTTCACCGGTGTGAGTTTTCTTGTGTCGTGCAAGACCACCACTGTAGTGGAAAGCAACTGGGCACTCTGAACATTTAAAGGGCCTCTCTTTCAAGTGCAGCAGCTCGTGCCTTCTTACTTCCCTTTCAGTGTAGGCAGCGTAGGTGCAGTGTTCACAGTGAAAACCCTTTTCCTCTTCAGTATGGTGCTTCATGTGCCTTTTGAGTAATTGTTTTGTGGTTGTAGCGTGCGTGCACTCAGTACATTTGAAAGGTCGTTCACCCGTGTGCCTTCTAAGATGGTTTACCAGATTATCTTTTCTGAAGGTAGCAAAAGAGCACGTGGTACATTTGAATGAACCAGCTTGGGAGTGCCTCTGACGGTGCTTAGCTAAGTCGTATTTAACTGAGGTTTTGTACGGACATTCTGAACATTTCAGTGTCTTTTTCTCATGTCTCCTGTTGTAGTGCATGTCTAGATGATTCCGAACGGAGGAGGTGTAAGAACATTCTGAACATTGATAAAGATTGTGATCAGTTGTGAGTCGTTCGTGTTCTTCAATGTGCTCTAAAAATTCTTCCTGAGATGTAAGGCTTTCCGTGCACATTGGGCAGAGGAGGGCCTGGAATTGTGGTCGTCCTGGTAACTCTCTCCGCTTCTGTTTAGCTTGAAACCTCGTTTGAACGGCCACAGTGTTTGACATGTGATGATTTCTAACATGAGCTATGAAAGTTTCGTCAGAAGATAACCACATCGTGCAAATTGGACACACAAAATCTGTTGTTTCATCATCTGACTCTTGTTTCATTGGTACGAGCTCTGCTTTTTCAATCACCTCCGTCTTTACCTGAGCATTTTCGATGTTAATCTTCTCAGTTCCCTTCAAATGTGTTCCATTAATCTCAGTCACAATTATATCTGATCCAACAACTTCTGTCACATTCATCTCTGTTTCATGTTTTGTAAGATCTTTGTGTAATGATGGAGACGAGTTCACCGGAATTCTTCAGAAGCTACAAGGGTTCTGTTCATTCAATACTCCTGTTGGGATGTTACTGTTTTACCCAAATTTATTGATGTTATCGCAAATCATACAGATTACAGATTTATCAAATTACATCAAACGGATTGAAAAACTCAGAATTTAGGATTGGTGTTCATTGTTTCGAATCTGAGAAAAACTCATTAATAGATGTTAACGCATATCTCATACTTCACTTAATTCTCCCTACTACTCTATACAGTGTATACTATACTCTATAACATATACATGACTACACACACTCTACCTGAAAGGAATTTCTCAGAAACAGCAAATTTCATCTTAGAACTAAACACGATTATGAAGAAAATATGTATTAACGATATAATGATGACGCAAAATGTTGAATATTCTAGTTTTAACTTTTATGACATAATGATTAAATGATGAGTTCTTCTAGTTCTCTAAAGTTACAATGTTACATTATTGTTATAATACACAAGACTAATATATATAAGACCCCAGCTAGACAGCACGAAACGCGTCATGTTATCGATTACGAGATGGAGTCTTCGGTCTAGTTAGACGTCACTTTCTTCTTCTTTCGTCCTAGCTAGACGGCACGTAACGCATCTTGTAATCGATAACGTGACGCGTTACGTGCCGTCTAGTTAGGGTCTAGTTAGGGTCTAGTTAGGGTCTAGTTAGGGTCTAGTTAGGGTCTAGTTAGGGTCTAGTTAGGGTCTAGTTAGGGTCTAGCCTCTAGGGGGTTTATCCAGCGGCAGATACGCAAAAACTATATTAATACTTTCGAGTCGAGTAATATGAGAAAAATGGAAGTTGAAGAAAAATGGATAATCCTATATTTATACAATCACCATAGAGTATAGAACTCGCATACGATCAATCAGCGCTAGGTTTTATGCCAAACTGCTCCTTTAAAGTTGGAGAAGACTGTGTTTGTGCATCCATCAAGATTGAAGAAAGGATCAGGGCAGAATGTAAACCAGAGAAAACGCGGGGCTAGTGGCTACCAAACGTTAAGAAAACACGGAACACTAATATTAGGAACAGAAATATAAAGGGTAATATAACCAAATCAACTGAATCTGTGGAGTGTGTTATTAAGCTCGGTGGTACCCAAATATGGAATAATTGGGCGCAATCCTTTGAGGGTGAGAGGGAGCTACATTCCAGGGAACTGATCTGTCAGTACGTGTGCAGTTCCCGTAAACACTTAGCATGCACTGGAATCTTGAAAATGGTAATCCAATCTGTGGGGGTGTTTACTTTCGAAGTGTTTCAAATCGAATTCATCCTCAGCTAATAACGAGGTAGATTGAATTAGCGTAAATGATAAAATCGTTTGACACAGTCTGACTTAGTTCCATCGTGTTCAATGGCCAACTTAGAAACAGTCCGCCAAAAGTTTAATCTCTACTAGATTCATTTAAATTTCTTAAGATTGAGTTAATTCTCCTTTAACATTTGGTCGGCTCACGACTATCACTCGTGAATCATAGCTTTATTGCGTTTATTTTTCCTCTCGATTGAAGGATAGTGAACCGATGCTATGGAATAGCGATGACTCTTATACTTATCCTTGGAGGTCTGCTCCTTCACTGATTCAAGTGTTGACATGCTTATGTAAATTAGGGGAATGATAAAAGGGAAACTTTTGCTGAGCGCGTCTTCAGCTATTTCCTGTCGCAATCTGTTAAATTCAAGCTCTCCAGGGGTAAGTAATTCCTTACTGTCCTTGACGAGCCTCAATAAGTCCATAAACGAATCCGGATTATACGGCTTCTCTGCACAGAGGTTCAGTTGTAGATAAATTCGTCGGCTAAATGAATCCTCAATATTCTCACCGCCCCAAGGAAACACCTCGCTTGCCAACAGATGCGTTACTTTTTCAACTTGTTCGCTTACATTTCTGTTTTTATCCTCATCCATGGTTACTATTCGTCGTATGATTTCTTGATGTAACCAATCCTTGCCTCTCGTTTTCACTGGCGTTCCCCGAGGGATTAATTGCCAGAAGTGGATGGTTTTCTACTCCATCACAAGTAATTCTGTAGGACGGTTCCTCCTCAATCATCTCCTCTACAAGTTGCTGGAACAATATTTCCTCCAACTCATCAAACGGCAGCTCATCCGAGGAAGATAGTAAATATTTTAAAGTTAAACCAAAAGAGAACGTGTCCATCATAGGGGTAGGTTGAGCTTGTTTATTTGCTACAAGTTCTGGTGCCATCCAACAGACGATGTCGTGACAATCCATTCCATGGTTTTTACACGACAAATCGCGCATTGACGTTGTCGGAGGGATGCCAGTTTGCTCACTGTACCAAAAGTCCGTCAAGACAAATCCACTAGGGTTCAACAGCGGACATTTCACCAGAACATTGGAGGGTTTCAAGTTCTTGTGTATAATGGGCGTGGGGGTATTCCTGTGAAGGTACTGCAGGCCACTTGATATATGTTTAACAGCTCTCTTAACAGAGGATGCCATCATGTCGCCTGTTCTCTCCGCAAACTCCACCAAGGTGTTTAAATACTGGTCTTGTACCACATACGTGACCGGGTCGAATAAACCTGCCTCCTGAACGACAATATATGTAGAAATATTGGGATGGTTTAGAGTCTGCAACGTCTCCCAGTCGATTGAGTTTGACAGAATTTTTGATTTTATAACTTTTATCAGAACTTCCTTCGGCTTTCTTTTAGTAGTGTTCTTGGAGCTTTCGAATATTTTTGAGCTCACACCGTAAGTTCCCTTGTAAACTTTGGTTTTCAGAGGACCCGTTCCGATCAAATCTCCCAATTTCAGAACATGCTCTATCTTTACATCTCGTGGCATCCTCCACCTCTACAAAATATTAAAGCGTTTAAAACTTTCTAACAATACAACCATTACAAGCATTAAAACTATAACTGTAATCTTATGTCCACTACACTAGATTTAAGAGTTTTAAACTAATTACAACACTACAAATCTATTACATTTATTGAGGTATGATCCCGAGCCTCAAAGCTATGACAAATGACAAGGCTGCAGGCCAAACGCCCAGCAGTGAAGAAGCAGAGAAAAAGAGAAAGAAGCTCTCAGAAAAAGGTACTGTTAAATCAAAAAAACCTATACTAAAGATTAAAGATGTTTCTAAAGATGTTTCTAAAGATGTTTCTAAAGATTTTTCTAAAGATTTTTCTAAAGATTCTAAAGCCCCTCCAAAGAAAAATGCCATTAACCCAAAAGCAGTCCCCAAGTTTAATCCCAAAGGGCTGTGTTGTCGCTGTAAAAGTGATAACATGGCCTATGAGTCCATTTCTTGTCAGATTTGTAAAGACGTTTTCCACGCATGTTGTAAGGATAAGGCTGGCACACTTATGCCCACGTCTATTTGTGCACGGACTTTCCTG